GGTACTAAGCTTAAGTCCTTAGTTAGAGCTCGTTAAAAAGAGAGAGTCGGTAGACTACTAAAATAATCTTAAAATAGAGGTTTAGGTATAATCGTAAACTAAATAGTAAGATTAAATAGTAAGTTAAACGCTATTATATAAGCTATAATATCGTTCCTATATAATAAAGGAGAAGCGTATTACTCTACGCTCTACGAGGTAAAAGGGAGAGTACTCTATCGCTCTCTTAATAGAGCGAGAGAGCGGTTACGTACGTCGATCCTAGGAGCTAATACGTACCCTACTCGATCCGTAATAATTAATTACTAAAAGAGTAACTTAAATAGCTTTAAAACTTAATAATTAAGGAAAAAAAGTCTTTAGCTACTACCTCTATTATCTTATTATATATACACGTAAAGTAGATAGTAAGAGGAGATTACTAAACATCTTTCAAAGTTTAAAACCTTACAAATTCTTAGAAACGACGGAAATGTTCGTTTGGGCCACCGGGAAAGCCCTTGTAATAACGATTCGGTACTCTGCTTCCTACCGCAAGTCATTCTTGTTTGAGGACTTGCTCCTGTGATGAGGGCCCGGTCCCCTATCTCCCCAGTAGCCTCGTGAAATCTCCGACATGTTGGAGACACATCTCGGATGTTCGTGCTCCTGCTCACCGCCCATTGGCCAAATTGGAACGAAACAGACTTCGTTGTAGCCGCATCCCCGGCACCTCTTCCAGATTGGCCATGCAAGCCACGATTTCAAGCTTTGCGTGCGGTCCAGCGCCTCCTTGTGTGTGGATGCTTCGGCTGCGTTTGACAATGTTGAGCATATCGTTGTCGCAACATTGAGCACCGATACAGCGGCCACACCAGATGACGAGGACAACTCGGGTACATACTGCGTTGCACAGCGATGTATCTCCAAGGTGGTGTTGCGATTTCCGTAATCGATGAAAGGTCGAAGGAGCTGCCTCAGCTCAGCTTTGAACGATTTGAGGTTGTCGACATCACCTGAGGCCAGATACTGGATGCGGTCGGCATATTTCGTAACAACCATGTCGGCTACGGCTTGCCAGTCCTTGGGATCAGTTGTCGGCGGTTGGAGAATCATCTCTTTCGTGGCCGTGAGGAATGTGCGGATAATGTTAGAGTCGTTGCGAGCACGCGGCAGTTTCTTCTCATTGAACGTCATTGCACCTTCGGCAGCAAAGAGGCTGATGAAGTTGTCGTAGCTCAATGTGACCCGATGCCCACCGATGCCATCGAACCTTGAAGCTACCGCTTGGTAGTAGTTCAGCCCGTTTCCATTGCCGCCAGGGCCTGATGAACCACCCATATCTTGAGATGTGGCCCGAGTTATCCGTTTGACATCGAGGTCCCGCTCGAACGAACACAGAATGATCTCAAAACCGAGCTCCATTCTCAAGAAGCCGTCAATTTGGCCTTGCCATTCTGTCTGAGCGAGCTCGCACAGCTTCTCAGCACGATAGACCTCACCCATTGGCCCTCCCGGACGTCTATGGCCATCTTTGGATGGCTCGCGTAAAGGTGGATGATCATCAGCGCCTTTGGGTGGAGGGTTATCGTGCAAGAGAACAATATCTTGCATGTCGAGTGTGCCCTTGTCTGACTTTGCAGCCGATTGACCGTCGATATACAGAAGGCGAAGGTCTTTTTTGGGTTGGTACGTGTGGAGGTATCCATAAGACTGGTCTTCGGGGCTGTTCTCTTCGATAAAGAGACGTTGTTGCTCATGTTGCATTCGCGCACGCGCTCGTTGACCTGCAGTGTGGGTGAGCGGACGATCATCGTGACGTGGATGCCTTGGCTCGAGATCATCACAGGCTGAGTCGCCGTGCCATGGCATGTATCTGGACCTCTCATCGAATCGCTCGGGAGGATGCCAGGCTTCGTCGTCGTGCGGATGGCGTTCCGGCTCAGGTGGTCCACCTCGTCCGGGTGGTGGTCCTCGATGAGATCGCGCAAAGACGAGAGCATGCTCCGGCTCGAACGCAAGCCATTCAGTGCCATTGATGCGCGCGGGTTCGCTGGTACCATGATAGAGCTCAACACCCTTTGGTACAGTGGCCAGAAAGAGCGACATGCCGTTGTGGATCAGTGACGAGCCCCATTGTCGCATAGAGCTGTGTATAGCATTGAAGATGTGGTTCGAGTTCTGAACGCTGGGCTTGGTATCCTTCCCAGAGGCATATGTAGATGCAAGCCCAAGGCTCAGGGAGGCCCAGAGATTGCGCATGTCGGTCAGATCGAAGTCGGTTCAGGCCCGAGATCTCTAGTGGTAGGCGCGGCTGGCGCAGGGAGATGGAGGCGTCAAATATATCTTTTTGTTCTCCCTTTTGATAGTACGACCACATCCACGCGGCCATGGAGATAAGTTGTCGTCAGCTGCATCTTTAGAGAATGCCGATGAGCTGCCGGGGTCGGAGGGCAGCATGAGCTCGGCCGAGCCGGTGGACGATTCGCCATGTCTGCAGCCATCTTGGATGTCGAGCAGTGAACGGAAGCAGAGATGTTGATGTTGATGGAATATGGACGCTGACAGCGTGAAGAGGATTCGATGCGAAATAATCTGATCTTAGGGTGTGAGATTGTCAATCTAATCTGATCGGATATCTTCATGCCTGAGGCAGGCACTGGCTTCGACTTCGTCTCCTAGCCCAGGAGAAATCCATCACCAGCCACTACCACTCCATACCGTGGTATCGTTTAGACTAGAACTGTGACATGACAGCTCAAGATCCACGGAGGCGAGAATATGCCCAGGTTGTTCAGTCGACGCTCTTTATGCGCCACGAAGGTGTCACAGATCCCATCGACATGACAACCGAACCGAGCTCGGCAAGCATCCCAGCGGCCTTGCTAATCTCGCCGTCCGAGAAGAAACCGAAGTTCTAGGTGAAACATCTATCTCAGAGTCAGAGCGCTTCAGATGGGCTGTGCCCTTTCCAATGGAGAACCAGACCGTGTACCAGCCCATCTGTCCCGCGCTTCGACCATTTCTGGATCCTGAATATGTGCAATTTCACGAGCGGTACATGCAGTACGTAGTACCTGACCATGTTAAAGCATGGGACGGCAGTGCACGTACTCAGCCGTCACTCCCACCTGGTGGCTCGGTACCCGTTCCAGTCCAACGAATACAAGATGTTCGTCTAGAGAACTGTCAGCTGAGGGTCTTCGTACCTGACGATCTTATGGGAGATCAGAAAGCACCAGCACTACTGTGGTTCCACGGTGGTAAGCTTCCAATGCCATAGGACGCTTTGAGCCGCAAGACACTGACTATTAGGCGGATGGGCTATTGGAAGCATCGATAGCGAGAACGACTTCTGCGCATATACATGTCAGAGTACGTAACATTGACTGGACTAAGACAGTACATGCTGACGAGATTGAGCTGCGAAATGTATTGTAGTCACCGTCGGCTACCGGTTGGCGCCGGAGCATCCGTACCCAGCTGCTGCAGAAGATGCCATAGAAGCTCTTCAATGGCTATTTAAGCAGGCGACAAGGCCCACTGCCTTTAACGTCGATCCTCAGAGAGTGGCAGTTGGTGGAACATCTGCGTCTGTATTTCCGCCTTTGCTCGAAATTATGACCACTGACGGATGATTAGTGGCGGAAATCTGGCAGCAGTATTACTCTTAGAGGCTGCCTGCTTATTTCGATCCTTCAAGCCTGTCTTTCAACTTCTGGTCGTTCCAGTCATCGACAACAAAGCTACGCTGGGTAATGGCTGGACCAACATTTATGCCCCTTGGTTGACGCCAGACAGAATGCTCTGGTATCGAAAGATGTACCTCCCCAATGATGGCATCGTGCGAGAGCTTTCTCGAGAAGATTGGCAGATATCACCCAACATGGCTCCATACAAGTTGCTTTCCAAGTGTCCACCGACATGGATAGCAGTTGCTGAGCACGACCTCTTGGCCACAGAAGCGCTTGCATATGCACAACAACTTCGAGATGCCAAGGTCCAAGCAGACGTGAAAGTGTACCAAGGATCCACCCATTCCATTTTGGCACTCAATGGGGTGTTGTCGAAGGGCCGAGAGTTGATGTGGGATGCGGCCAGTGTGCTTAGCAGAGCATATCGGCCTCAATACTTTGCTCCGTTGCCATCGCCAGAGGAGTCGATATGACCAACAACAAGGCCGTCATTGCTCGGGTCCGTCGGGGTTAGGCTGGTGGCTGGAGAAGAAGATTACGTGCTCTGTCACCAGTGAAGTGCATGTGGAAAGGTGCGTCGGACACATAAACATGAGCAGCTCTAGGGCTACATATGTGCCACTCACAAGAAAATGTCGATCATGACCCTGTATGCAGTGCAATGCGGGCCAAGGGATCGGTGTCAAATAGAGATCAGCGTACATACAGCCGATTCCGGCTAAAGATCCTCATGACCTCGGGGATAGCAACTTCGTCCCTCTACGCCTTGGCATTTGGTTTTGACGCCCTGCGACATCTTTCTATGACTTATTCATTGCAGTTGAGATCACTCAAATGGCGGCGGGATCCAGCCTGGTACGATGACCTTCACCTCCAGATGAGACCGTGATGAACTCTCCCCCGCAAGATGAACTTCCTACCATCATTGGGTTCGAAGATGGAGACCAGGAGAATCCGTACAATTGGTCGACGGTATGTCAATGATAGCTACATGAAGATTCAATGCTAACCGTAGCCACAGGCCAAGAAGTCTGTCATTGTCATTCTCGGAACGCTGGTCGTGGTGAACAGCACCGTCGCCAGCGCGCTGCCCAGTGGCGACTCACCCCAACTACAGCAGCATTTCAATGTCTCAGACGAAATTCAGCTGGTCCTTCCTAACTCGATCTTCCTGGTTGGCTATGTCCTGGGCCCGTTTTTCTTCGCACCTCTCAGTGAGAACTATGGCAGACGATTTATCGTTGTGGGCACTTTCCTGGCTTACACCATCTTCACCTTGGCCATATGTTTTGCGCCAAACTGGGCGGCGTTCATCATCTTTCGACTTCTGACTGGCATCTTTGGGTCTACGCCTATATCAGTGACTAGCGGGTATGCTACAGTGATACGAGCCTGCGGGACGATGAGCTGATCTCAGAGTAGACTCTTCGCCGACGTTTTAAACAACCCAGTTCATAGAGGACGGTCGGTTGCTTGGTTCATGGCAATAGCGGCTTTTGGGCCTGCGTTGGCGGTAAGCATTGGGTTATTACCATGAATAAGGGCATGTACTGATCGTCTACCACAGCCGACTCCATCAGGATACCTCTCGCAATACAGCTGGCGATGGCCCTTCTGGTTTGGTCTCATCTTCGCTGGTGCATGCGCCGTGCCGATAGTGTTCCTGCCTGAGACATTCGGCCCGGCAATACTGGCGAAGAGGGCACGTAAACTGAGGAGGCAAGATCCAAATGCTAACGTATACGGCGCCCTCGAGTTGAAGAAAGTCTCACCTCGTCTGTTCGTTACAACAGTCCTCGGAAGACCACTTCGAATGATCATTACCGAACCTATCGTGTCGGCATCTTGCTTGTATCTGTCATTGATATATGCTGTGTTCTTCATGTTGGTGCAGGTGTATCCGATCATCTTCGAGCGTAAGCTGATTCGTACTCCGATTCCCCTGAACAGTGTACAATGTACTGACATGGGTGTAGCAATCTACAACTTCAATCAGGGAGAAACGGGTCTCGCATTCTTGGCGTGTATGTCAACAACTACCTCGTTCGCACTCAAGCACTAACAATGTCTTGCGCAGTCGCCGTTGGATCGTTACTAGCCTTACCCTTCTGCTTCTGGTGGGACCACATCCTCTTCACTGCCAAAGCAAAAGCACGACCATGGTCGAACAAAGCCGAATACCAAAGACTACCACTGGGCATCGGATTCGTGCTCATCTCGCCGCCAGAGGCACGGCTACCGCTCTGCATGGTGGGTTCCATTGCTGTTCCTATCGGTCTATTCTGGTTCGCATGGACCAACGGGCCATCCGTACACTGGATCGTGTCTATCATAGCTGGTGCGCCGTTCGGCTTCGGGCTTGTCTGGGATGGAAACAGCTTGGGGAGGGTATATATCGGCTATGCCTGTGCAATACAATGCCTTCACCTGCGCCTGCGACACTCTGAGCAACGCCTCTGCCTCCATTACGTCCACCTCCATTACGTCTGCTTCCAACGACTCTGCTTCCAAAAGCTAGAGGCCACTTGTAGACTCCAGCAATTCTGCAGCCATTCACTGCCCTCTGTTATCATCCTCCCTCTAGAGAAACGAGGTCGCACCGGCGTGGCTGTAATCGTCATCCCCCCGCAGGCGCAGGCGTAGGGACTGAAGCGCTCTTGCGCTTCTTCTTGGCCGGTGGAGCCGTGCCAGCATCGCTCGCGCTGCCGTCCTCGCCTGCAGGCGTAGGGGTAGGGGTTGTCGCGCTCTTGCGCTTCCTCGTCGTCTTCTTCTTGGGCGGTGGGGCGGCGGCATCGTCATCACCATCTGCAGGCGTAGAAATAGAGGTTGCACCGCTCTTGCGCTTCTTTGCCGTCTCCTTCTTCTTCTTCTTCTTGGGCGATGGAGCGACGCCAGTATTGTCATTGTCGTCGTCGTCGCTAATTGCCCCTGTGACCCCATCGCCACTGTTAAGAGCCTTGGTCGCCTGCTTGACAGTAACCCCCGTAGACTTCATAACGGACGACTCACGTCTAATCACGATAAACGTCGCCTGACTGTCGACCAGGGCGTTCACTGCATCGGCTGCAATACCATGCTGATCCCTTAGGTGCTTGTTGAGATTGCACTTCCTCTTCCACTCAGTAGTCGAGGTGCAGCCTTGGTGGAAGCATCTCTGGGGGACGAACTCCTTGACAGCATTGCGAGCAGGGTAGAACGGCTGCATTTCGGCGGCCGTGGACAGGCCATGGGTCCGCAGGTGGATTTTGAGGCCTGTAAGATCCCTATATTGGACCTGGCTCTCGCAGGCCGGGAACGGGCACGACACAGGCCAACGGTCCGAATGATAGCGTGATTGATGAGCCTTGTAATCGCTGAGCTTGGTGAAGATCTTCGTTGGGTCGCAGCCGGCCTCTTCGCATGCCTTCGCCTGAAACTCATGAACGCTCTTGATGTGCTGGTCGATCACCCCCTGGCCCTGCGGGCTGAGGGTCGAGTAATCACACCCATCATGCGGACAATAAGTCTGGCCATCTCCAGCCTGGAGCTGGGCGACGGCAGCTTGGAGCTGCCGCAAGCGTTGTGGCGAACAGGTGGGTTCGTGGTTCTCCACGACGCCCAGCAAAACGCTCGAGAACGGGCAGCCGGGTGTCTTCTTGCATGCATATTCGAATGGCGTAGGTCGGCTGCGGGAGTTGCCCATTGTACAGGCGCCAGCGAAGAGCGTGGCAAATTCCTCATCGGAAAGGTGATGGCTGCCGTTGGCACAATGCTTGGCCCAAAGCGTGGCGAAGCGCTCCGAGGAGACCTGGTTGTACTGGGCGTATGTGTCGATCCACACGGCCGCAGCGCTGGCAGCTGGAGGAGGAGGAGAAGGAAGAGCAGGCGGATGCGGCTCGTGGTCAGCGCTGTCGTCCTCACGCGTATGACGGTCGTCAAGGTGGCCCAGCATCATTTGCGTGCACGTCTGCAAATCCTCGTCGGTAGCGTCAGCCTCAACGGCGGCCTCGAGATCCTTTTCAGACAGAGAGCACAAAAGAGGCGCTTCTTCCTCGGCATTTGGGCCAGGTGTGTCATCAACATTCTCAGTCCGCAGCAGGGCCTCCTCCAGATTGGATATCTCAGCTGGCAAAACTCGAATTTTCGCCAGCTCCTCGTCGCTCAGCAGGGCTGGGTCGATGTTGTCGTGGAGGGATTCGGCGTGCAGGCGGCCATCACCGCTGCCACCATAGCCTTGCTCTGTCGACACAGCAGCGGCGCCAGCAGCGCCAGTGGTGGAGGGGAGGTTTGCGGCCGCGTGTGTGGTGGCCTTCGAGATGGGAGCGACGGTGGTGGTGGTGGTGGTGGTGGTGGCGCTGTGCCCGCTCTGTGGACTGGTCCTCAACTCGCCTGGTGCGCGGCGAGGTAGAGGGGATGGCGTGGTCAAAACTGCAATAATCTCGCTGCGGTGTGCCTTTGGAGTCGATTGTGCGAGTGCCTGGGCACGTTCTTCGCGGATGAGTGTTCGAGCCCGCTTCTTGTTGGTGCGGTTGAGCTCTACACCTGGGCCCAAGACTGCGACCATCTCCTCCACGGTACAACGAGCATTGATTTGGGAGTAGACGGAGGCGTCGCCGCCAGCATCGTCAGCGGGCTCCGGTGCGGCCGCAAAAGTAGGCTCGCGTTGGTGCAATCTGTTGGCCTGGTCCACACGCAAGTTCCACGTCTCAGCAGTGCTTCCGCCGACATATTTCTCGGTCAAGCCCGACTCAAACGTCTGGACGCTATGGCCCAGAGTCTGCCGGACAGCCTCGGTGGCTACGCCTGCCCCATCCAGACCACTTGCCGGCAAGTGAGCCACCTCGCGAGAAGCTCCATTGCGAAGGGCGTGGGCGTAGATGCGAGTCCCGACAATGCCTGCAACCAGGCCCATTACCTTGATGGTGGACGTCAATTGACCCGCATGGGCTGGTCGATCGAGAACGCAAAAAGTGCCTGATTGCTGCTTGAATCCAACCAGTACTGGCAGCTGAGGAGAAGTCCACACGACGCAGCGATCCGAACGGGCGGCAGCCCGGTCCAGGACTTCTTGCAAGGTCGTTCCGGCGACCAGACCGTGCCGGAGAGCGTGCGTCAGGAGCAGAGCGATCGGGCAGCAGTGTGTCAGGTGCTCCCCGTCCAACGGGCGCAGGTATCTCACCACATTTTCGTTCATGATGTTCTTGGATCCCTTGGCGAACTCGATCGTTACTTCAGCACGCAAGTCAGTGAGCGCAGGCGTAGGACTGTTCCCAACCAGGTAGAGGTTGATATGGCGATAGTGCATGAACTCCTCGACATAGCCACGCGTCAGAGCAACGTCGCCGGCTCTGGCGCCGAGAGCCGCGACCAGCACCACCGAGAGCGCCCTGCTGATGGTGACATCCATCGAGCGATTTGGTCCAGGCTGGAGCTGGTGTTTGAACCAGGCGCGAACCAGACGTGACAACGTCGCGAAACCGACCCAGCTGCGCCGGTTCCAGGTGCCGCGAACCAGCTTCTTCTTCTCGACCGCATCGTCGATCAAGGTTCGAAATCGTATGGAGTCGTGACGGTCAATCTTGAAGCCCTGCTCGCGACTCCACCGGAAATGGCCGTAGCTAATGAGGACTTTGACGGCGTGAATGATGGTGTTTTGGCTGAGGGCAGGCTTACCCCGGTCTTTAACCTCGAGTTGGCCTGTTCACTCATTAGTCGTCATTCGAAGAAAAAAAAAAGGCAGCGAAGAGCAGAGGTGTATAGGAGGATTGGAAAGAGCAGGTCAAAATGCTTACCGATCATGGTGGTGCAAAATCGAATGAGGTCGTCACCGGTGAAGGGGGTGTCCAGGCTCTTCTTCAAGGTATGCAGGCGAAAAGCCTCAAATCGGTTGACCCAGAGCGATTGAATTGCCCGCGAGCCAACCGCTCCGTGGCCAAACGACAAGTTCTTGACTACTTTCTTTGAAGTCAAGCGGTCGTCGGCTGCGTTCTCGATGATCTTTCCAATGGATTTCTCTCCCAGGTGCGCCCGCAACTTGACAGGGGCATCGTCTGCCGATATAACATCGGACGAGTTGAACAGATCAGACATGTTGGTGTGAGTGCGGTGGAGCAACAGCGAGGACACAGGCGGGTGGTGATGCACAATGTCGGCAGGCGAGCAAGTCCGCTGGGTGCCGGTGGGTGCAGCAAAGCAGGCACTCGTGTAGGAGGGGG